TTCATTTTTCATGCTACTTGCTGTCCAAGGGCAGATTGTTTTCCTCTTTAAATGAAGAAAAAGAAGTAAAGTTACTATTTTTAGATTTTAAAAAACCCTATATAAATATTACTTTCTCTTGGTAGTTTTTCTCTATTTTTATTCCCGTTTCCTGTATGCTATTGTTGTGCCCAGGCTGTAAAGGAGAATTTCGGAAGAGAAGAAGACGCCAACCCACACCAATGCAAATGCAATAGGACAGTTTATTAGCTAACTTAAGTCAGGGTCTTTGCCCTTGCCAGGTCAGTGGCTTAAGCAAAAGACCCCGTACCCCGTTTCCTTCTTCAATTTATAGAACAATATGAGGAGGGGCAGCACCGGGGCGAGGGGGTACAGGTGATTGGTTGTTGCTAAGGGATTCAGGGCAGTGATCTAAGATGTTGGGGGGCGTAAAGAAACTCCCCCCAGCTCCAAAGTTCACTTAGGAAAATATTATCTAGGGAGGATGCGGCTCAGATATGGGGAAGACTTTTGGGAGCCTCGCAAATCTCTGATACGTGCTGAATCCGGATGGCTTTTGTGATGCGTGCTGAGTTCGGAGGAAGTTCCTTGATACCTGCTGAGACTGGAGGGCAGATAAAAGCCCTAAGGAGTGTTTAGAATTACAAAAGTTCTGTTAGCACTACTGACACTAAAAGGTTTCTGGTTAAAGATTTTCCTGGAGGCTGCTAGAACTCTGGCTTCAGATTGACTCACACTATATATTGTAATTAGTATTACCAAAATTATAGGAGTTCTGGTGGCACAGTTGTTAAAGGTGCTAACTGAAAGGTTGACAGTTTGAACCCACCAGTATCTCTGTGGGAGAATGATGTGGGAGTTTGCTTCACAAAGATTTACAACCTTGGAAACCCTATGTGGCAGTTCTACCTGCCCTACAGGGTAGCTATGAGTCAGAATCACCTTGATGGCAGTGGGTTTGGTGTTTTGGTTTTGGTTGTTACTAAAATTAAATATCAGGTAATTGTTCATATATGTGGAGGACTTACTGTGTGTCAGGCTCTGTGTTAAGTACATTACAAATACTACCTTTTTTAATTTTCACAACAGCTCTAATGACTTAAGTACTATTATTATGACATTCTTAACAACTGGCAGAGAGATAGGACTGAACTTTGCCTGTCTTTATCAAGAGCATTTGCTCTACTGTTTTATCTACTTTTTTAATCTATCTTTTTAATTTTAACAAATAGTAAAAAAGGTAAAATACCAAGGGGGAACTGAAATTAAGGCAAAAAAACTAATCCTATAAACTTATAAATCGTTTTTGTTCTCAAAGTTGATTGGCACCAGTGGAAGCCAATATTACCCTCGACATTTTTCTTTTTAAAGGAACATGAGCCATTTTGTCTTTTCCCCATTCTCCTTTCTTTAGAGAGGAATTTTCTTTACTTCTGGATAAATGTACTAGAGAGTAATACAGGTAAGATTCTTTTTGGTCTGTAAATTAATAGTTGAGATTCTACAGTATTTTAAGCTTATATGTAAAAGAAATAATTTCTTCCTTAAGTTTTGTAGGCACACAAAATAAATAATATATCTCACACACATGCTTTGGTATTCCACGTCTTTTGTTGTTGTGAGGTGCCATGGAGTAAGAGATTCAAATGAGCTGTGCTATTTATACAGTAAACAGTTAAGAGGCAAATGTCACAGTGTCAGATATGTGTTTCAATGAAATTATTAATTTTAGCACAATCCAGAAGAGCCCAATGGCACATGCGTGAAACTTTAAAATTGGAGAGAAGAATTTATGGGATAGACTTTGAGTAAAGCTCCTTTGCCTCAGTTTTCTTTCTTAAATATTAGAAATTGCATCAGTTTACCTCAGTAGCTGGTTTTAAGAAAATGTGAAGATGGCTATAAACCAAAAACCAAACTCACTGCTGTTGAGTCATACTCGACTCATAGCGAGCTCTCCTTGGGTTTTTGAGGCAGTATAACTATGGAAGTAGACTGCCCAACCTTCCTTCCGAGGAGTGGCTGGTGGGTTTGAACCACCAGTCTTCTGGTTAGCAGTCAAATGCCTTAGGCACTACGCCACCAGAGCTCCTGAAGATGGTTATAAACCACTTGAAATTTCTATCAGTATACAGTTGGAGAATAGCTATCAGCATAATTTTTAAATAGAACAAACTGAAATTCTTTGAAGCAAATAATCAGATTAAATAATACTGGAATAACAATTAATTCACATTAAAACCCAATAGTTATTTTTAAAAGATCCATCATAAGTATGTTTGGTATTACAATTCAGTTCCTATGCTAATCAATAGTCAAATTACATTTGTCTTACCATCAACGTTTTTCCAATATGCGTGTATATTTGGATAATATGTCTTTATGTACACATATGTTAGAAAAGGTTTTGTGGCTAAATGGCAATCTTTTTTTCAAACAGTCATTAATAATAAAAATATTTGTAATTGAAAATAACATTATCTACTATATGTTTTTAGGTAAAGAGAAAGGAAGCTTTCAAATTGACAGCTCTTCCATTAAACTGAAATTATAAGGTGAACCATTCACCTACTAATGGGGTAACCATGATTAATGGAATGGTAATTTACTAGTTTTCATAGAGCAGAACTTAGAATAATCCATGTATCTCTAAGTGAAATAGATTAATGTGAAAGGTTTGATACTGTTATTTACTCAATGACAAGTTACAAAATCTTGCTGGTACTCATTAAATCGTTTGCAAATAGTAAAGCATAATTTTATTTGCAATATATATAACAGATAGGAAATTACTGTCCAGAATATATAAAAGGCTTCTATAAATCAATAAATAAAGTTGACCAATAGGAAAATGATCTCAGAAGCGAGAGGAAAACCAATCATTTTATTTTTTAAATAAGCTTAGTTTCACTAGTATAGGGAAATAAATACCCAAACTATTTTTTTTTTCCTTCTTGTAGACACAGTTTTTAGAAACTGATTTTATACTTACAGAAAATTGAATAGGCTCAATTGGAATGCATACAGCCATTTTTGGACTTCCACGATTACTCTGTAAATGCTGTATGAATTATTTACTATAAGCATGTATCCGTATATAACTTGTTTAATTTGAAAAAAAAGAAATAGCGCATCTGGGGGTTTTGAAATACGTTTGCGGAAACACAAGCTGTGAGTGGCAAAAATAAATTTTGAAAGATGTCTTCAAATGCATATCCAGAGAGTATAATAGTGACTAAAGGAAAAAGATGTACTTTTTTAAAGGTCATTTTTGTTTTACTGTTTTCAATTCTGATAGCCAGTCATGGGTCAGTAAATACCTTTTCTTTAAAACACTGGTACCTCCAAACTGGTCACTAAGGATCATTTATACACAAATGCACAAATCCTATCAAGTTGCGTTTCTATTTCCTCAAGTTAGCTCCACTGAAAGATTGGACATTTTGATCCAGGAAGGAGTTGTAGTCAGTTCTGGAGCGCTTTTGGGGAACTTCCAACCTTTAAGTTAGCTGCTGAGCAAGTTAACTGTTTGCAAGGACTCCCAGCTTTTGAAAGAGGTACAGAGAACTGCAGAAAGGAAATTGGAAGGGCCGGATACCAAAGATAGAGTTTCTTTACTTCAAATAGTTTCTTCTGGTCTTTCCTAACCACATCAGGGGTTTTGTGAGAAAATGAACTCTGACTCGCTAGCCTGTGATTTGCAAGCTACCTTGTGGACCAGGCCAGCTGTAAGTCAAAGATCATCGGTGCCTGCCTGTCCAGTTCTGGGGACCAGAAATGTTAAAGGGAATTGAGAAACTAGGAAGCACTTAAAGGAGCCACACCAGGGTTAATGAGAAATCTCAAAACCATAATATTTGAGCTAATAGAGTACATTAAAGAGGGATACAATAACTTTAAATATTTGAAGTCTGTCGTTTAGATTTTCTGTTTGTTGCTACATATTGAGAGCCTAGGTACCACAGGTAGAGGCTAGAGAGAGGCACATTTTGGTACACTGTAAGGATTAATTTCTTCATACACTAAAGGAATGGGCTGTTCTCTAAAACTGTGGTCTCCTGCTGGCCCTAGAAATGCCTCAAATGATGTTTTTTCTTGGGAAAAAGTTTGGTTGGATTAACTAATCCTAAAAAATCTTTCACATTATCCTCTGATTCCAGTTCTTATGAAAGTGAAATTATATTCCAGAACTAAGGCCTCGAATACTGTACCCCTTTAAAAAGTTGGGAATTCCTAGGTGATGCAAACAGTTAACATACTCAGCAGTTAACCTAAAGGTTGGAAGTTTGAGTCTACCCAGAGGCACCTCAGAAGAAGGGAGACCAATTGGGAAACCAAACAAATAAGACAACACAAAAGGTAGGAACACTGTCTGCATTACCAGAGTTTCTTGGCCTAGAGTGTTTCCTTGTGGTCCTATTGTCTTCCTTGTAATATTTACAATAACCCCTTAGGATGATCATTCCTCAGGCACATGACCTCTTTGGACAGTAGGGAACAATTAGATCATCTGGCATAAGAATTTATACTTACAGGAATTTGAGAAGAGCATGTGATGTGGATGCTACAATTTATTCTTTCTGAAGAGCTAGCCAAGTGGTTGCCAATTTGTAAAGGGCAATAAATGTCTCTGGAAATGTAGTGTCCTGGAGAACATTCCTTTTATCTGAGTTGTGTGGTTGGAAGGAAAACCTATAAGCCAATTGACAGAGGAATAAAACCCACAAGGAGTATGCTTAAAGGGTTTTGTTTTGTTGAGTTGTGGTCAGAGCTAAAGTGCGTACTAGGGGCATGGCTGAATGTACCACCAGAATCTCCCATATCCACCCTTTCCCCATACAGTGCTCCACCTCTCCTCTGAATTAAGTTGAGTATTTTTAAAATATTGGTTTGATGGGGAACCAAATTATTAACCTTCTCACATGCCTTTTGTCTGTGTCAGGCTTTATGTTTGCTATAAGCATCATATAACCTATTATCTTTCTTTTCTGTTTCTGTAGTGTCCATGGAAAACATTGGAGAACAAGGTAAAATATATTGTTGTTATAGATATAAAATGTTAGAAATAGTTTGAAAAATTAAATATGATTCATTTAGATTTAGTTGGAATTGATGAATTATTCTTTAAGAATGTAGAGATAAAATGAGAATTCAGTCCCTAGACTGAACTCTGTCAGGCAAAAAATTCTACCCTTAAATGGCCATAATTGTGCCAAAATTCTTGTGGCTTTGAGCTATGGAAATAACAATAATTTTCTGTTCCAGTTCAGAGTATTAACCCATACCTGAGTCAGCTATAAAAATTCATGGAAAATACCATTGGCTCTAGTTATCTCATAGATTTAAGTGTTTTACTGGATGACTAAGGAGTCCTGGTGGCACAGTGGCTAAATATTTGGCTGCTAACAGAAGGAAGGTTGGGCAATCCTACTTCCGTAGTGATACTGCCTCGGAAACCCAAGGAGGGGTCGCTATGAGTCGGGGCCGACTC